TGAAGCCGGTCACAGGTTCTCCAACTGTAAAAAGAGTCCAAGCTGCTTTATTTGTGTTTTTATTTAACGGGTTTTAGTAGGTCGCCAGTTTATTAAATTTATTATTTTATATTTTATTTCTTATTCTACTAACCCCACACAACCTTGGAGTGCAGAGTCCAAGGTATCTGTATGCAGATTTCCTAAAAGTCCCTAAGCAAGAAAAAATACTTAAAATTCCCCGAATAATATAGAAACCTTTTAGAAAGCATCACTCACAGTTGCGAAGATAAACTAAAAATTCTAATTTTCTTGTAATATGTAAAAATATCTAACAGGAATTTTTGCAATAGTTATAATACATTTTTTACAATAAAAGGTTTAAAAAGTTTGTTTTATTACCAATTCTGCATCAGAAAGTTTCCTTACTGCGTGCTACAATAAATTTTTATATATTCAAAATTATATGTACAGGAATTTTTACAAATTTATCCTATTTTGAAATTTTTATGCAAGAAAGTATATTCAACATATGTAAGGTCAACAGTTATTGCATATTAAAAAACAAATAATTTTATTATCTTCAATAAATGTTATAAAAATGGATGTTAAACGTATTGAAGCCAAAAGAAGTAAAAATTGAGCGTAATTAAAGTTCGTTTATTCAAATTGTTTAATTTAAAGAATTTCAAAAACTTTCAATTGTTAATTGTTAAAGTTTTCTTCACACTAAGATTTAAAAAACGAAAAAGTAAGGATAACGCGGATAGTGCCTCTTCGTGACGAGACACGAATTGAACTGCTTGATTACCGCCTGGCACCTAAATTAAGTTTTTATTTCACTAATTACAGGTGCCGACCACGATCATTCGTCTTCTCCAAAGTCTCTTCCCAACTTTTATGACATTATCCTTTTAAAAACTTTTTTTAAATATCTTTTTCTATTATTTGCTTCTTCGTTCAGGAAAATGTTAATTTACAATTTCTATATTCTATTGTATATAGTGTAAAAGGAATGATAATATATTAAGGTACCTAAATAATTAAAACTATACCAAATTAAAGAAATAAAAAGAACAGTATTTTTTGCAAAATTATGCCAAAATGTAATACTCAATTACAGAAAATTTTAAAGCAATTACTTAAAAAATAAGAAATTTTCAATTTTTTTTTATTTTTCTTTTATATATTTTTACTGAAACACAAACATATAGATCATAATAATGTTGTAATTGTCAATATCCTATTAAGAATAGTTGGTAACTAAATTTAAACATATTTAAATGCACAAAATAAAATACAATAAAAATATATTTTAACCGGGTGCTAAGAAAGAATTAATAAAATGCGTCATTTTAAAAAAATGTTTAAACTTTGAATAAAGTTTTGGATATAAGCATATATTTGATATTTTTAAAAATTCTTTATCTGTTGTAACAGTACCTTTAAAATGTTTAGATTTTCCATTCTACTTTCGTCGATACAAAATTTTTGTACAAGAAAATAAGTTGTCAGATAGAGATAATAGATAAAATATAACGATTTGTATGTATAAACTTCTTTTTTGAAGAATTATACGTGCTGAATTGAAAAGTCGAACACACTTTTCCTCCCTTACACTACTACTTTTATGCAAAATCGCCTTTTCTCAGGAACCTATTATTAATCTCACAAACGACAGCTGCACTCGTATGCCAGAAATCTTTGCCAAGGATTCCAACCTTTTTCCTGTAAGTAAAACGAGTGTGCATGAAATAGAGTAGTTTGGATTAATTAACTTCCACAAGAATAGTGCTTGAATTACAATTCAAATTTTTAGTTAAGAAGGACGTGACTAAACCCATCTAGTCTCATATGTACGTTTAATTTTTTTATATTTGCACAAATCGTTTTCTATATTAAAGATTGTAACGAGGTGAATCGTTACTTATTTCTCCAAATTTGTCGTGTGTAGGAAAAGTAAATTTCATTATAGTGAGTTGTTCGTCCGTCTCTCTCTTATCATAGTTTTGTCTTGTTTTCTTGTCAAGTCCCTTATATGTGTCCTTGGTTCAGCGACCCGAGACCTTTGTCATTCGTGAAATCTGAATTTATAATTTAGAATTTTAATTTATGATTTCGCGCATGATTAATTGGCAGCGACCGTCACATGACCAATGACTCGTTTCAAGACCATTTTAGGTGCTGTACAGTGGGGATAAGAAGGAAGGATTCTTTCCAATTTTCCATAGGAAAAATGAAGAAGCAAAATATGATGAGGAAGCCTACCGGTGATTAGGAGATCGGATTTTTTTTGACTTGCTTGTCACTTACTTGCAGAGGTTCAAGTAGTCGCGACGTGATTATTGACAAGCGTCAATTCAGAGTTTATTTGGTTTTTATTATTAAATGAGTTATTATTTGTTAATTGAGAGTTTTAAGTGTTTTATTTATATTTTTGTTTTGTGTTGTAAACGGTTGAGAGTGACAAAGACGTTATAATTTGGTAGCGTCTCAACGGTTATTTTATTTTAAAAGGAGGGTTCGTTGTCAGAAGTTGTTTTTACCTCGCAGCTTGAAGAAGAGGAACTCCCCGATGAGCTTTGTTGTGGTGAAGTTAGTTTTTCGAATAACGGGTCGTGATGTAAATTTGTGATGTTTTATTTTTTATGAAAAATTCGATATTGCAAATTCTACCCTTATAAGATCTTAGAAAATTGTTTCCAGAGTAATTATTAAGTATTAATAATATTAAAAGTACACTTGTGTACAGTGTTAATATTTGGACTTTGGTGGCCACGCTTCGATTCTCGCTATATCGCGGTGTATTCTCACTACTGTCGAGATATATCAAGCGAGAGGTTTGACGTTGAGGCAGAGTGATGTGCACTGTCGATATTATTATCCGGCACACACTATTAAAAATCAGCTGTCGATAATGCAGGTAATACTCTGGGAGAGGTTTTCTACAGTTTTTCTCTCCTCTGTCGAGAAAACTCATTAGATGGGTGGTCCAGGTGTAAATGCCAGTACTCCTGATTTCAAGTCGCTCTGCAGACGCAAAAATTTAGTATTAAGTTGTAATTATATAAGATTAATTGTGTCAAATTAAAAACTCTTCCATATAAAAACAATTTTATAACTAGAAAAAACATAAAGAGTAAAGAAATATATATTGTGTCGTGGCACAAAACGAGATTAGTTTCTTTTTCTAAAATAAAAATACAAGTTTGTAATTAAACAAATTAAAAATTGTAAATAACTAATAAATTTAATGAAAGTAAATTAAATAAAACCTGCCAGTTCGTCAGAACAACAATTGTAATAAAACTTGAAACATATTTTGCCATTCGTATTTTTTTTTCATATTCATCGAGAAATGGTCAATTGGAAAATCCGCAAATCCATCAATGTTATTCTTGGTCGAAGTCATCAGGGGAAGTGCTTCCTGGTGCATATATTCGGTTGTGATTACCCAATATTCAAGAGCAACAGGAAGACGAAAATTATTCGTAGTTTTGGCCCTGTAAAAACACGGCGGTGGCCATTTTGAATTAAAGACCCTAAGTGAATTGCTGGTGAGGTTAAGCCCCAGTGACTTATATTTGATGTTTCTCGACAAATTGGCCTTAAATTAATTGTTTAAAATTTCGATTGTCGAAAATGATGCTTGTCACCTCATTTTTCATGCGGTATTTAAATTCTAAATTCAGCTAAAATTAGAATTTAAAGTAAATTAAATTGAATAAAATTATTTGTAATAAATCTAAATTCAGTGACAGTGTAATATTTGATGTGTTAATCTCCTTACCTCCCTCTCTGCGGTTTGTTAGGAATTTTCCTAACAATTTCTGGATTAGTCTGGCAAATGTTTAAAATTAAATAAATTAATCTTTTAGATATTTTCTAGTAAAATATCCTGGCGCTAGAAATAAAATATCTGTTGTTCTGTAAATGTTATAGTTTAATGAAAGAGTCCTCCCCTTCCAATATGTATTGTGTTAAAGTAGAATTTTGAATTTAATATTTAATTTAAAAGGATCAAGAAATACTGAATCTAGGTCCACTAAACTGATATCTCACTATGAACTTTAATAATTCTTCGAGTTGCACACATTTTGAAGACCCAAACCCAGTAAATAAAGGTTGTCTTATAAATAAATATATATTCTAATTAATATTCTTTTATTCTTTTATGGAACTATTTTCCTTTTTCCTGACTTTAGATTATTTCACTTTTAATTTTAACTCTTCTATTTTTATATTTCTTTCCTACGAATTCTTTTTATTTATTTTCGCTTCTTTTATTTTAATATTTTCTTTTAATTCTTTTACTTTTACAATTATGACACTATAGATATTTTTATATACAAATATATCTCTTAAAATTCAACCTTTCTTTACTTTTTAATTATTTATATTTTTCTTTAAATAAAATCACTTTCTCTAAACAAACTTTTTATTCAACTCTTAAATCTTTTGAGAAAATCCCTTGCTCAGGAATGCAAACTTTATTTTGATCTTCACGATCACTACGGCCAATTGCCGGACTTGAACTTACAAAGGGTTGTTTTTGTGTAAATGTTTAAGATGTGTTTACAAAATCTTATGTTGTGTGTGAATGATGTATGTAATGTTAGTTTTTTTAGTACTATAAATTAATTGTTTACAATTAATAAAAAAATTATTAAATAAAAATTAATTATTAATTATTAAATTATTATTATTAATTAATTATTTGTTTACAATTTAAAAGTTACGGAATTCGGCCGTGACATATTATATTGATAACGAGGACGTAGGACCAACATAACCTACCACATAATTTGTATGCTTAACTTCGACGCTCGCAATCCACAAAGTGACTATGGTATATCATTACCGTAATATACCATCGGTTAATAATAGTTAATACAATTATATAAAAAAAATGCTATTAACTTTAATTTACTTACCTTATTTTCAATTTTTCAAAAAATTCATTAAAATCTTTAAATAGAAGAATAAATAAACTTTCAACAATGATAGAATTAATCGTTTATTGACTTTGAACTGTCATTTTATGTATTGAACTTTATGTACATTGAATCCATTTATCAAGAACAATGAATACACGCATAATGTCAATGAGCACATTTATTCCTTAAACATACTCTCATACACATATGTTTACACTTAATTTTATAGACAAAATAAAATCAATCGCAGTCGAACTTTGAGAATTATTGTATGAAAAATGAAATTATCTGACGCATACTCTCTTTCACCGCGCTTTCATCACAATTATCAACCGAACGGAAAAAATTATTTCTGGTTTGGTGGTGCTTTATGAAGGGTGTTAAAACTTATAAGTGCAACCACTGTGGTAGTTCCGTGCACCCCTTTCCGGAACAACTCAAAAGAGGGTTTAGATTTTATCGACGGATTACAGATTTCTCGAAGGGCTTCTCTTCATCGCCGATAATAATTATCACGTATAGTCGAATTATCAAGCGGAGAATTTAAGTTGAAAATAGAATAAAATAGGGTACATTGATTATTCCTCAGATAGTTCTTTCAAGTAATGACAAATTAAAAAGAAACTTTGACATTTTTTTTTATTTTATCACAGTTATCCTCGTTGCTAAATAATATGCAGCATATTAAATACATGGTTAAAGTTACAACAAATGAAAGAAGGCATAACAAAAGAAGTGATGGGATAATTTTTTTTTAAATTTAAAACCTTATAATTAAATTCATGTATAAACTTTTAAAAAAGGATTTTCTTCTTTATTACGTTTTTAAATTTGATTTTTAATTTAATCCTGTTATTAATTTATTAACAAACTGTTTTTCAAGTATACGTTTAATTAATTAATTTTATTTTGCAATTGTAATATTAAAGAAAATCTGCGCATTCAAAGAAACCTCCAGACAACATAATTTGTTTCGTTCTTAAGTAGATTTATCTGAAAAAATTGTTCTTTTGGTAAAACAATAAGATCTCAAAACGGTTTTCTTATTGACAGTTTCTTTCTAAATAATCCGGAGAAATTTTAAATTTGCTTTTTCGCTTCTTTAAAAACATCAGGTTATAACCTGTCAACCATTTTGTCATACAGACCTTCAAATGTGATAAAGAGTTTTAAAATAAAAGTTTAATTTATAGATATTATAGTTTTTAAACTTGGTTATTTTATTATAGATAGACCTTTGGACACAAAGTTTCATGAAAATCTAAAATTCATACTGCAAAATTCCACTTACCGATATGGAATTTTTTAAAATAATGATTCTACATTACAAATATAATGTTTAACTGGTACATAATTATTCTGTAACGGTCAAATACTATTAACAGTGCTTTAAGAAATTAAAAATCTCTTGATCATTTAGAATAAGTTTGTTTCTGATATTTTATGTAATCAAAAATAATCTGTATTAATCATATTGAAAAACATATTTTTATAAAAGATTTTTCAACTGGGCACACCAAGGGTGTAATTTAGATGAGGAATTTAAAAATGAATTTTCTAAATTAATAAATTTTGTTTATTCTCTTTCATCTATAATTAATTTTCACTTAGGTAAGAATTTATGGAGTGGTCCCTTAATTGTCTTTTGAGTATATAGAATATAATCGATATCTCTGTTTTGATAGTTCATGACGTCTCTATAATAAGACCTTCAAACGATTTTTCAAAATTAAAAATTTTTTTAAGTCATAAATAATTTTAAAAAATTTTGCACTGTTCTAGAAAAATTTTTTTTTAAAATAAATAGTATGTATAAATAAATAGTATGTCCGACTTTTTAATGTTGTTAATTATATTAAATAATATATACAAAGTAATCTCAAATACTGATTGCCAAATAAAAGTTCTGTATAAGTCATCTTAGGGTGCTCGCATCTTAATGCTCTCGTTATATTTTCCCTTTCAAAATTTTTATCAAGATCCGAGCGTCACTAAAAATGCAAAGGCATAAACAGTTTCCTGTATTTTTTTCTAGCAAAAACATTCTAAACTTCTGCTGTAGGTAAGGAAAGTAAGAGAAAATTCTACACAGGCAAAAGATTTTAATGAAAAAAAATTCTATAGCAAAAATAGGAAATTTACTTTCGATAAATATAGAATATAAATGTAAAGTATAATTTTTAGTGTTATAAATAAAGAATGTTCTTAGTTGATTATGCATAGATAGGTATCATTTATGTTCCTTACCTAAAATAAATGAAGGGACCACTTCAGGAATTCTTACCAACTTATGAAATAATACTCAGGCTCAATTTAAAAACTTTTGTAAACTTATTTAAAACTTTCAACCTATAAAGTAAGAAAAATAGTCTTCATTTCAAAAAATGTAGTTTGTATGTAAAAAATTATTTTTGAAAAGATTTTCTATTTTTTTATATGTAATGCTATACAAAAATTTAATAAAGAAACCAATTTTTCTTCTGTAGGTTTAATTTTTCTAAATACTAAATATTGTTTGAACACCCGGTACGTATCATAGGTAATTATGAGACATTTTGTAATGATGCTTTAGTGATAAATGTTTAATTTTATAAAAGAAAAATGATAAATCCTTTAAGAGCACCTGGAAGAAATTCCTCGAAAAAGTAGTTTCTTATTTTTTACTACTCGCTTTTAAGTGAGCATGAATATCAGGCTGGAATATTGAAGATTCAGATTAAAAGTTGTCTCAATTTAGTAGGTTTTCCTTTTTTTTGAAGTATTAAAAAATACATATAAAAGTTTTTTTAAACGAAATTCTTAGAGGTAGTATGGTGGGAAACGTACATATTTTCTGAGAACTTCAAATTTTAATAATTCATAGCTTCTGTAATTTTTATCAAATCTCTAAATAAAAAATAAATATTCTTTTTTATGCAGAATTTAAGAAACATTATTCTAACAAAATCTAATTTTTAATTGAAGATATTGTGGAAAATGACCCATTTTATAAGATACGGATATTTAAATGCTTTTGTAATTGTATTATAATGCAGTCTTATCACACCGTTAGTTCACCACTTATTTGCATGTTGAAATAATTTTGCGGGAAATTACAGTAACCGAGGAGAAAAGCTCACTCCGTTATTTTTCTCTATATCTCTTTTAAATATTGTTTCAAATTCTTTTCTCGTTTATATGTAAGTTAAGCTGAATTCATTTTCGTTAATTATAAAACATCATATATTTTTCCAATACTTATTTTCAAAATTTTATTTAAAAAAAAGAAAACAGTCTAATACTGTATACTCTCCCCTAATTAGCTTTAAAATTCGATCACGATATCTTTTCTCATTTTAAAGTAAGAAGTAAAGTATGACACCACATTTTTGGGGAATTTCTTTTCTGATGCTCTTTATGAGCAATGATTCGTTAAATGTGTAAGAGATAATTATCTTCTCCTTTCTTTATTAATTAATATCCATTAGGATGATTCCATATTTTATTCACACTAATAGCGTCTCCAGAACAGTATTTCTCCAATGACATCTACTTTCGGAAAATTAGTAGAGCAGAGTACGCGTAGAAGTTGAGAGGCATCGTCGTTAAAATGTCGACGAGAAAAATATTCGAATTGTATGGATCAAAATACGAATTTTTTTTAAAGAGGTCCTTAAAAGTTTTGTTTTTTATATTCACGAGAGAAAAAGAGCGCAGAAGAGAATTAATGTTCCTTTCGACACGATGAAACGTTTCACTTTATAATTAAAAATTAATAATATACATAAATCATGCAAACTATACAACATATAAAAGGCTTCACTACCGTGAGCTCGGAATTATTTACAAGAGCAAGTATAGTGGCACACATGCCACTTTTTATCACTTTGTCTTTTTGTCATAATACAATGCGAATAAAACCTCTATTTAATTCTAACATATCGATTAGTTTTTGAATCAAGTTTTCCGAACTCTTCTTACAGGCATACATGTTTGTTGAAGTTCTCTATTCTCCCTCTTAATTCATTCTTAAAAAATAAACTTTATCGCGATAAGGGATTCGATGAGAATACTCTAGTTAAACTGTTTTTCGACTCGATACGATAGTTTGGGAAAGCCCATAAACTCGTCGAAGATCTTTGATACCCGAGGGAATTTAACCCGTAGGGCTTTTTCTTAGATTTAAAATGTCTTGCAACCTAGGTTTCTTCAAGTTCTTTTCACGGCACACACTTTTCACGTAGGGTAGAGGCTTGTGAAAGTTGGTATCCTCCAGCTGACGGCCGCCAAGAAGGACATAAGAAAGTTGCTTGCCAAAATTGCAGAACTTAAGTTTCTCCTGTCTCCGCCGTGCATGGCAGCTGGCTTTTCCTCCTCTGAAAAACAAAATTAGAAACTCACATAAGACTTTTAATAATTCATTCAGTGATGACAGAAGTCGTGGAATAATTGTCGAGATAAATCAGAATTTTTAACATGTTCTAGAGAAACGTTGTGAAATTGGAACAAGAAGATAAGGTACACTAACAAACCATAAACTGACATGAATAATTAAATGTTTTTCAAACTCTTTAACATTGTAATTTATAATTCTCCTTAAAAGAACTTTTGTAAGTAGGATCATAAATAGGCCCATAAATGTGACCGCAAAATATAATCTGAATGAGGGTAGTTTTTTGTAAACAGTATTTGAACCGTTCACTCGAAAAACAGATTAATTGTTCTTGGGTAATGTTGGGAAATTTAAAATTAAAATTCATTTATAAATTTTAATTTAAACGGTTTTGGTATTAATTTAAATGAAACGTTATACTTTAGATTTAATTTAAGTACACGGTGGTCACTCATGAAACTTGGATGTTAAATATTAACTTCAAAAATATGTATATAAAAAGAGATACAGTCATTTTATAATGAAAAAGGTTTTCTATTGAATAAAATTCTGCAAAACCAAAACGTTATACAAAAAGTTTTTTTCGGTCAACGAATACACATTGTTGTCAAAAATATTATTCTTTTTTTCTGTTTATATATTTCCATTCATATACAGATTTTAATGTCAACAATAAAATCTAAATTCCGAATTTTTGATATTATATTTATATTCTACGACCTTAAAAATCGCTGAATAGCAATAGTATCAAGCAACATTTATTTTTTAAAAAACTCGTCCACTATGATGGATCCACCATGATAAATTTTATAACTTTTTATTTATTTTTAAATTCATTTTTGTGACGGGAAAATAATAAATTAGTATTTTAATTTAATACTTTATTTTTTATTATAAAACAAACACTTGTTATTTTACACTTTTATTTTAAAGCGGAGAGAAAATGCGTCTCACACGTATGCCAGTCAACATCAATCTGCCCTTTTAGTCCTTTTTGGGAAAAGTCAGGATGGTTGTCTTTTGTATTGCGTAAGGAATGCAGTCTAGTCCGGTTTTCGGGGGAAATGCTTCCTGTCTATTGAAAAGTCGTCTTGTGCGATATCTGTCCTTGTACTTAAAAGAGAAATCGTAGGGCCTCGTCACACCTCCCGTCTTAGATTGAACTTAGTCTCTAAGTTCGCAACCTAACAGACTTTGAGACAATGACTGGATCATTTGTCATTACTTGCTCAGGGGCGGAAGCAACGGAAGCATAATGGACTACTGGCGTGGCATTTACGTTAGCATTTACACAGAACAATTTTATACACAAATTTTTAGGTATCAATTTGCTAAGTAATTCGCAAAATCCTATCTTATACATGGTAAACAAAAATACAATTAACAATGATGTATAACCTAAATAAGTTATAAAATCTGTTCCCTTTTCTATCCACGTTTTATTTCTGCGTCGATTTTTTATTTTTTGTAGTGAATTTTCCATTAAATCTAAGTTTTGTCGTAGAAATTTTAAGTTTTCGTGGTGAAGTGAGTCTTGTACAGTGGGTAATTGTGAAGTTAACAATTCAAAGTCTGACTGATCAATTGTGTACGATATGTTTTTCTTATATATAATATCAGTTCGTCGTTCCATGGATTGATGCATTTTTAATATAGATTTTGGAGTTTGTAGAATACAATCAGTTTTACTATAAACTAAAGAAGGTTCTGTTATTACAATTGTTTGAGATTGTGAATTACATAATGCGCTTAATTCTACTTCTTTTTGTGGAATGATAATGAATTGGTTAGGATCTTTCAATGGTATATATACTACTTCAATAATCTGAAAAGCAGAGAATTGACACATGTGGTCGTTGATAACTTTATTCTGATTTTTAAGAATATTAGTTTCGCAACTTTGTACTTCGCTGATTAAATAAGAAGGTTGAACGCGTTTACAAACTCTCAGATCGTTAGTTTCTTTACATTGTCGTAGCGCAAACATGTCGCTAGGGATGTAGAAGCTTTTTTCAGTGTTTACTAAAATAATTTCATGGGTAGGAATTGGAGCTATGAATCCATTTGCATGTTGGATGGGAATTGGGATTAAGTGAAGTGTTTGCAAATCTTCATATTCTAAGATTGGTATTCGTAACACATATACAAGCCTTTTGTTTGTAATGGCAATTGAGACCTCGGAGATGTCGATGATGTGTTGATAATTTTGCGTAATGAGACGAATGGGATATTTAGTATTGGAAGAATCTTCGAACTGTTTCAGTTCCCGTATGAGAATGGAAGGCGTCAATATTTGGGGGTGGACAATTCCATGTTTACCGTCGTTTATGGCATCGATAATAAGATTGAGTTCTTCACTCAATTCACTTATAGCCATACTGCACAAAGTAATAATATTGGAAATAAGGAGGTTTTGTTGATTAGCATTAGTAGCATTGAGAATATTATTTAATTCGCTGACAGAACTAATGGAGTGATCTTTCATTAGTTGTAAATCATGAGATGTTGAACTTAGCCAAGATTTTATCATCCTTGTTTGATTCCCGAGTGTGTCAGCAAGAATTTTGTTATCAGAATATATGGAATCAAATTCATGGTTTATCAAAGTTAAGTCGGTTTCGTCTAAAGTGCCAAAAAGAGTTTTAGACAGGGTACCAACGATGTTTAAGAATCCTCTCTTTCTACGTCCAACTCCAAGCATTTGGTTCAGAACCGATTTACTCTCTTCTAACCTAACAATCCTATTATTCAATGCTTTCAATGTTAGTTCTTCTGAGCAACGGTTACACATTTTGAGACTCCTTTCGTAGTTTTCTTGAATTTGTTGAAAATGGTCATTGATACCAGAGACGTCTATCCCTAATATAAGTCTCCAAGTCTGGTGATACATTTTTGTGACTCCAAGATTTTCGGCATAGATGGTGGTGCCTTTTAACGACCTGGTTACGACGTTTCCTTGAACCCCTTCAATTATTATAAATATCCAGATGAGAAACATGTTGTACCTGAAATTTAATAGTTGTATGTTTTCAACCTGTCAGCATGAATAGTGAATCGACTATTGTTAAATAATATTTCGTAATTATTTTTGGGGAGAGCTTTTATAACAACAGCAGGACCTTTCCAATCAGGGCTTAATTTGTTTTCTTTCGTGTTTTCTAGCATTACGAGATCACCTGTGTCAAATAAACGCTGGGGCAAAACAATTTTAGCGTCTTGAATTCGTTTATATTTTTCTTTTGCCCTCATTATTTGCTCTTGAGCTTTCCTAATATATCTTTCATGTCTTTCTTGCCATAATCGTACTAATTCCGGATATTTTAAACTAGGTGTTGTAGCTAATGCTGACGGAACATTCGCGTCTCTTCCGAATGTGAGCTTAAAAGGACTGAAACCGGTGCCTTCGTGAGTCATAGTATTATAGGCCATGCAGATAAATTTAAGTGTCGAGTCCCATTCAGTATGTAGATCTGCCATCGCTGTTCTTATCAAATCCTTAATGGTACCATGAGATCTTTCTAGAGCACCGTTACTTTGAGGGTGGAACGCAGTTGTTTTAACATGTTGAATTCTGAATAAGTTTTCAAAATTTTGCACCAGTTCTGATACTAGATTCTGCCCTTGATCTGTTAAAATGTGTTTTGGTGATCCGAATATATAAATAAAATGATCAAAAAGTTGCTCAATTATTGTCTCGGATTGGGTATTTTTTAAAGGAATGAGTACAAGGTATTTAGTTAACATGTCCTGAATAGATAATATATATTCGTAGCCTTGAGAAGTGATTGGCAGGGGACCGAATATATCCATTGCGATTTTGTCATTAGGTGTCGTTGGCGTGTCAGGGATAATAGCTTCAGAGCGTCGTTTAATACGGTTTAGCTTGTGGGTTTGGCAGGTGTGGCATTTTTTTATGAAATCTATAATATCGTCTTCCATGTTGGTCCATGTTCCTAATTCTCTGGCCCTCTGAATTGATTTGTTTTCTCCAAAATGTTGAGACATTATTGATCCATGACTTTCATTGATTATTTTTTCTCGTTCTTCTAAGGTAAGCTCTGTGGTAGAATTATAACAACTGAGAATTTTTAATTGTGGGTACTTAAAACTAATGAATGCTATCAACGTCTTAAGTTTTATGCGTTCTATGGAAGTGATAGTTGGATCGTCAAAATGTAAGCGGAGAATACTTAATTTTTTTGATACACACCATTCCGTGATTTCGATTAATTTTTTAAGCCAACTTTTGTCAGAGTATTGGGGTAATGTGATACAATTCAAATCGTTAGTTGGTCTCTTAGTAAATCTTTTCCATAATTTTCCATTGGCATTAGGTTTCTCTACTTCACGTGTGTCTGTCTTGTTTTCAGACCACCTGTAGTATTCTTGTAGTATTTCATTATTGACAGGTGTTGTTGGTGGTAAGTGGACAAGGTCTTCGTCATTGTCACCTGTATTATCTTCAGTAGGCAATTCTAATGGGATTTGCAACAACGCTCCTGGAATTGTTTCGTTATTTTGAGGTGAAGGTACGGGTGTATTTAAATCAGGCTCTTGAGGTGTTTCAATGGTTTCGATATCAGGTAATTCTGATTCCAAATCAAATTCAGCGTTTGTAGTGTCTGCGTCGTCGTTTAACTCGTGGATTGGTTGTACTCTAGATAATGCATCAGCAGCGGTATTCTCCGAACCTTTCTTGTACTCAACTTCATAGTCATATTCTTCCATTTTTAGTCTCCATCTCATTAATCTAGATGAAGGGTCTTTTACGTTAAATAGCCATTTCAGTGCTTGATGATCCGTGAGGATTTTAAATTTCCTGCCTAATAGGTATTGTCTGAGCCTTTTTGTTGCCCATACTATTGCAAGTAACTCTTTTTCAGTCGTGGTGTAATTCAGTTCAGGTGCATTGAGGGTACGAGATATGTAATAACAAGGATGCCCGTCCTGAGACAGGATGGCTCCTAACCCTACATTGGAGGC